CTGGGTGCACAGCAGACTGTAAATCTGTAGTTATACGTATGTTTGTGTGTGTGTGTGTGTGTGTGTGTGTGTGTGTGATTTTCTAAGAGGGGAGTTTTACAGACCTGCCAAGGTTCACTACCCCACGTCAGTCAAGATTTAAGGGTGTCCTCACCTCTAAGCGATTTAATTCAATATGAGTAAGAATATATGCGTCTTACTCTCTGACTGTATGGTGTGCAATGCTGTGACGTTATTAAACTGTGTTTGCATGCATTTAATAAATGTTAAAAATAGCCTATAAAGTATTTTAAATTGAACTTATGGGCCTGTTTCACTCGTTTATCAACAAACATTACTGATGTAAACAAATCTTTCACAGATGTGAAATATATTTATGATTGTTGCCTAATGTTACATCTGCGTCAAGTAGCATTGTGTTAACTGACACCTGCAGGACAGTGGGTGTACTAATGAGAGTAGTTAGGGCTGTGATGGTATGGTCGGTTCTTACTGTGATGAAAAAACATCATGTCCCTGCAGTTTGGTGGTATACCGCTCCAGCCAAGTTGCAAAAACTTTATCTAGATAGCTTTTCTACTGGGCATTAATCCCACACTTACATAAACGCTTCAGGTCACGTTTAAGCCTGTGAGACTCAGCTATGACGCAAACCTGCACAGAGCCGGTGCAGACAGCTGCGTAGATTAAAATGTGAGGGTATCTGTTGCATCTGAAGCGCCTGCAGTCTAGATACAGGGAGACAAGCAACTGAAATTTTGTTTTCCTCAAGGAGCCCTTGAACAAAGGATGGAAGACAGTCAGTGATGATGACTAGAATGATTCTTGTGTTCATTGTATTTCATATCACAACCTCCTGCAACATAAGAAAAAACTGGATTGACCACCCCAAGGTTGTACATCTCCTCGCTCCAGTCAAGTTTTTCCTACAGATCACATTCATGTCTGTGAAAACATGGATGCTTCACACAAATCTTCCTCCCAGCAACACAAAAGATCTACACAATCAGCACAGTTTCAAGATCAGTGTCACTAATTCAGTATTTGACCAAATGCCCCCCCTTCTGTTCCTGAGATATGACGTGGAGTAATGGCCAGATGAGTGTTTTATGCAGAACATTATGATGTCACAGTGAAGCTGACCTTTGACCTTGTGGATATAAAATGTCATCACTTATCATCATATCCTGTTAGATATTTGTGTGAATTTGTCATAATCAGTATTACAATCCTTGAATAATGGTCACACTGACCTTGACTTTTGACCTTCCACCACCAAATTCTAATCAGTTTATTCTTTAGTCCAAATGGCCGTTTGAGTCAATTTTGGAAAAATTCCCTTATAGTATTCTATACTAAGGGACATTCACGAAAATGAGATGACTGCAAGGTCACACTGACCTTGACCTTTGACCACCAAAATGTAATTAGTTCACTGGTGAGTCTAAGTGAATAATTGTGCCAAATTTGAAGAAATTCCCTTAAAGTGTTCTTAACATATCGCATTCACAAGACTGAGACCGACAAGATCACAGTGACCTTGACCTTTGACCTACAACCAGCAAATTCTAATCAGTTCTTCACTGAATCAAAGTAGGCGTTGGTGCCAAATTTGAAGAAATTCCCTCAAGGTGTTCATAAAATATCCAGTTCCCAAGAATGAGATGAACACAATGTCATGGTGACCTAGACCTTTGACCACCAAAATCTAATCAGTTCATCATCGTCAAAGTGGACATTTGTGCCAAATTTGAAAAAACAAAAACAAAAAAGACAACAACTCTTGAGGCGTTCTTGAGATATCGCTTTCACAATAGGATGGACAGGCAGGCAGATGGACCAGTAAACCAGATAACTTAATACATGTAAGAAACTGTGTAGGCGACATGTACAGCTACTTTATGATTAATTAATTAACACACTTTGCAGCCATTTTGTTGACGGTTGTGCACCAACTCTGAGATATTTAAAGTGTCAGAAATTCCAGTCACAATTCCAACTAGGAAGCTGCTGTAAGCAACTTTTTTTCCACTTGGCTGCTGGTAATTACAGTCTGTACGATGTGACATGGCGTAGTGTCAGGTGAGTAATCTTAGAAACTTGCAGTTCAAAACGCACTCTGAATTTTTTTTTTAAAAGACTGCTTGACCCGTTGCTGGTGTGTACACATCCCTACCTGTATCCCTTGCTCCCAGTCCTCTCTGATAAACACATTTTCCAGCTCGTGGCTGATGCCCTCCACACTGCTCGGCACTCTGCATATGAGGGATTTTGGCACAGGGATTGCTGACAGGGCTGATGAAGTTCCCTTGAACTGGAAAGATGACATAAAAACTAAGTGAAAAGAAATGTATACATCAAAATAATACGATAATGCATGCAACCTGTGCAATTGTGCAATAAATACATAATGCTGCATATGTCTTTAACACCACAATCTGCCTGCGGTATTGAATTGTCGTTGATCCAGTTTCATGAGATATTTAATGGGTGGAGGCGTTCGGTTTAAATACATGTCTCTAAAGTGGGATTAAATGTCATAGGGAACAAAAACACAGCCATGATTGTGATCTCCCACATGTGTGTATGTGGCATAGCATATCACTATTTATGTTCATTTTCCCACAGTGGTCGATGTGTTCTGTTGCTGGGCATCTGTTAATGAATGAACTGCAAACAAGGAGAGGACAGAACATGCCCGGACACATTCCCTCTCTCTTCCCCTCTTCTGACACAACTGGTCAGTCTGGACTCATTAACTAGACTTCCTCGGTCACATGCAGCGTGACATACGTCATCATGAACTTAGATTATGATCAAATATGGCCTCTACACAAGACTAAAGGAACTATTACTACAGTATACAGTCACGTCCATACTACTCCTACTCCTCAAATAGTGACTACATAATTAATGCATGCTGACAACATACAGCTTAATGACCATTAAACTAATGCAGCAAATGAAAAAGTGAAACCCTGATTTCTAATTTGATGCCATTAACTGAGTAATACAGAAACCCACTCTGCTGAACCCCACTTTATTCATATTCAGTCCTCTTATCTCAAACAGCTGTGATACGGTTTGCTCACCGTCTGTTTCATTTGTATGTGTTTTTGTTCGGCTGCTAAGCTACCTTATCATGTCCCTGCTGTCAGGGTAAAATCTTGCATCACCAAAGACAGAGTTAGTTAATGTTTTTTTTTCACCTGAACAGAGCACACCAGTGACTCAGTTTGGCAAGGCATGAATACTGACATGAATAACTCACCTGCGGTTGGCATGCAGTGCCATGCTGTGCCTGTTGCTGCAGCTGCAGTGAGCTCTGCTCCCTGTCTTTGCTCTGCCGGCTGACCTGTTTGCTGCGCTGCAGCTGCAGTCTCAGTTTAGCAATCTGCTGGAAGAAAAGTAACATCACTTCAGCAAATGACAGATCACAGTCCTGAGGGTAGTATTTCTATCATCGTGCAAATTTTAACTTTTCCCATCAGTGAAATGAATGAAGCCAGAAGATAAGCATATTCGCTCCCATGAAGGGTCATTCTGTTCAAAATCATTTAAATATTTGGTTTATAGAACTCTAAATATCTTGTTTTATTAGACTAACAGTTCTAAACCCCAAAATCATCAATTTACTACAATGTCAAGACAAAAAAGCTGCAAATTCTCACATTTGGGGAGGTGGAACTATTAAATGTTTTGCATTTTTGCCTACAAAAGTGAATAAAATGCTTGGTCAAAATCATTGTCCAATCGTTGCAGCTCTACTTTATTTAAAATATAAAAGAATTATAATGGAGGTGCTAATCACTGGCAATAGGCTTGATTGTAGAAAACAAGTGTCGCACACTGTGGCTCCATATGCATTTCTTGTATTTTATTTTGATGACGTTTCGGCTGTTGGGCCTTCTTCAAAATATGTTTGCTGATCTTGAAAAAGGCCCAACAGCCGGAACATCATCAAAATAAAAGAAATGCACATGGAGCCAGAGTGTGCGACACTTGTTTTTACAGTCAACTCTACTGTTCTTCCTTTTTGCAGCAGCTGCGAGAACAATGATTATGTTTACATGCACAAAATAGTCCAGTTTTTGCCCTTATTCCCAAAGACAATATTCCTATTAGTTTCCTACTGATGGCGACTTTTTCGACCTTGCAAACACAGCCTCCCTCTTTCATTCCTTCAACAACCCTCTTAAAAAGGTCAGTGTTGCGATATTTGCGCATACCCAAAAACCTCTTGATATTCAAGTCTTTCATAACTTTCAAAAGTAGGTGTGTTTCTCCTTCCAACCAGAAATGTGGGCTTTTCTTTTGGGCATACACTTCTACCCCAGCCCTGCAAACTGTTGGCAAGTTGTTTTTTGTACAACATATCCATGACACTGCACAGAGCCAGCTGTAAACAGACAAGAGGCTCGTAAACTGCCGTGAAAACTCCAGTTGAGAAGCATCCGAACACGCTGTATACATGTCCAAATAATGCTATAAAAACCCAAATATTATCGACATATCCCATGTCTTAAACAGAAAACGCTTTATTTGGAAAAAGACCTATTTCAGAATATTTAAACAAGATAAGCTGTTTACATAACCAGCATCAAATTCATAATACTGTCCTATTCAGAATAATAGTAGAATATTAGTGTGCATGTAAACATAGCCAATGAAAACCTACATTAATGCGGATAGTGCGCTTTTTGTCAAATTATTATTTTCTTATCATTTTAAGGATGGCTGGGAGGCCGTTTTCTCTTATGTGGCTTAAAACACTAATACACAAATATATGTGCTACTGTACACAAAGGATTGACTTGACTTGAGCATTGTTGCAAGCTAGAATAGTGCATATCCTCAGCCATGCACGTCCGATGATGAAACAACTTAGGTCAATGGGTGTTTCTGCATCTGGCCCAGTATCAGCCTAAAAACAGGATACCCTTTGTGAGTCTAACAGACGCAGTTGTACTATGCAGACAAAGGTGTGGTCTTCAGTGCTGATCTTGTAATCCTGGCAACACAGTCAACAAAGAGACTTGCTCTTTTCATAGATGTCCTCCCACACATGTAATCGCAGAGGTTAGAGAGCTAGAATACAGTTCACTACATTCATCAAGTGACCACAGCAGTCGATAATGACAAGTCCAGGCAATCCTGATGTAATCTCAGAGGATGACAAAGAGAGGTTTCCTGGCTGTGCTATGCTATTGATCGCACAGGCCAAGGCCCTGGAAGGGTCTCAAAGTCAAAAACTAGTTATAGTGTATGACTACGTTAAAACTTGAATATGATGCATGAAATCTGATTCACACAATCAGATTTCATGAGATCAAACTGTGAGTCCATGGCCGAGGAAGTAGGTTTTGTGTGTCTCTCGTGGCTGTGTCTTAAATGTGTCTCTTCCTGTCTCCTCTTTTCAACTTTTGGTACTGCTAAACTGCTGTGTGACGACCGGAGTTTATATCCACACAATGTCCTGTTCTATTCACAATAAATGCCTAAAAAAATGTATTTTCGCCTTAACAATTTAATAGTAATGTGAGTAAAATCAAATTATTAACCATCCAGATCTGTCACTTAATGCACCAAGCACAGACTGTATATAAAGATGGGTAACATGTCTTCACTTCCCACGTTCTCCACCTCCCAGCATACAAAAATGAAGCCAAAATATCCAAGACACAGGTGCTGCCATCTTGCACTGGTGACGTCATTAGGAGCCAGAGTCTACGCAGTAGCGCTCAGGAAGTAGATTCAGTTCCTGCCCAAACACACATCCAACCTAACTGCACGTAGCACCACTGATCGCGAGCCACTGAAGCCAGCCACCAGGGGACGACCGAGATGTTTTGGCTTTACTTTCGGGGAGCTGTCATGCCTCTCAGAGTGTGCCATATCATATTGTTCGCAATAATACCGGAATTACTTTTAATATGATGAGAAAATTCATATTGTGATATTTGCAATATTTCAACTTGTTGACACACTGACATCATACCGCAAAAATACCCTGAAATTTTTTTAGGGACATATTATTTTAGGGACGTACATTAAACTGTACAACTCCTCCCTCTGATGATCGGACTCATTTGGCTATTTATAAAACAAAACACACAATATAATTACTCATTCTTATTTCATTTATAACGCTACAACCATTTCATTGTATATTGTATATATTTCAGATTGTCTACTTTACTATTTTATTATTTATTTTATTTTATTGTCTACTTTAATATTTTATTTTATTTTATTTTATTTTAATGTCTACTTTAATATTTTATTTTATTTATTTCATTGTCTATTTTAGTATCTTATTTTATTTATTTCATTGTCTATTTTAGTATCTTATTTATATCTTCATCTTTATCTCTTGTTTCCATTCATGCTGTATTTCTATTTCTACTTTGCACGGAGCATTGGAACAAAAACAATTTCCCCCCGGGGATTAATAAAGTATTCTGAATCTGAATCTGAAGGATATCGCCCATCTTTATATACAGTCATTGGCATTATAAGACAAGTGTAATTGTAGCCTTGCTAGTAGTAATGTGCAAGGGTTTCTGAGTCAGGGTCTTTAACCTCGCTCATTATCAGAGCTAATCTCATAAACCTACAAACCAGAGCTCAAAGTTTCTGGTACTGACCATCTCTAGTTTAGTTTAGTTTAGTTTAGTTATTTTCCAGCTGACATCCTCTGTGGTTTGTTTACATGAACGGTCAACAGATAGGTACAGTGCTTTGTTTACATGACGTTTACATGACGAGACAGAGTGAGGGGAAGAGAAGGTGGAAGGTGGACTATTGCACAATGTTTCTGTGAGTTATAAAAAACTTACTCAAAACGCTTTGTCGACTGATGACCCATCTGCCTGAAACTCACGAAACTTGTTAACGTATTGACCTACCATACCTGTGTTTTAAGAGGCTGAGCTTTATACACCATCTTTAGCATTTTGGTCATGAAAGCAATTTATAGAATTTAGTTCTGCGTGCTGATCGTTACATCTGGTGCAATAGAATCTTGACAGTGTACTTGTGAGTTCGTAAAAAAGTCCTGAATGGTGAGGTTTTTTTTCTTCTCAACACTAACAAAAACCCAAGACATCTGTGTGTGATTATTATGTTGGAACTAAATATTGATGATACACAGATGTCAGATCTTGTGCTTTAAACAGGAAAATATGAATGTCTATTGTGTTGCATGCGCATCTGTAAGGCTTTTAAGAACACTAGTAGTTACCCTAAATAAGTTCACTGAGTGCGAGCTAAAGAAGGAACAATATGGCTGTATCACCCCTGAGGAGCTCCCGAACCGTCTCTCAAAAACAACAGGCCATAATAAGATGCGAGGGTGCAGTTGAGTGGGAAACAGAGGGGAGAAGGAGGTTAAATTTAGACTGTGGTCTGGAGAGTTGGAGAACTAATAGCTCCATGTGGTCAGCTGGTTGGCCACCAAACCCAACAGATAGACAGGAGTGGAAACCAACCTTAAGGAGCATAATATTTAGGCTGACCTCAGACCCTGACAAATAAAACACATTTCGAATAAATGGAATGAACCTCAAAAATGACAAAAACATGCTCTTTGAACTGGATGTGTGAATGCTTTCAGCCAGTCTGGCCTAGTTTAGTGTCAGATGGACTGATGACACGACTCCAGAGTGTTAATCCACTGTCTGTGGTGTTTGTGGACTTGGCTGAACCAAAGTTAGGACAGGTGAATCTACCTCTTTGAGGTGGTCTGCACTGCCCCAGGAAGCTGACCGCTGGTGAGGACTTCCCTGTTCTGCTCCCTCATCAATCCAGAGACCTGGAGTCTGAAACACAGGAATACATGCTGACACATAACCACATGCTACAAAACTCTATATCATTTCCTCAAACACACACAGCTCATGCTATTGATATGTGCTCCGAATGTACTGTACAGCACCATGGCCACCAAATAGCATATCTTATGTTGCTGAGGCAGACAAAGATAAATATGATGTACTCCTGCACAAGAGCATAAACACAAGTTACCATTGTATGTGGCTGCAAAGATATCTAAAAAGAATACAGTACATCATCCTTAAAGCCTAAGATTAGCTAACCTGCAGTTTCTGAGATTTGTTTACGTAGCAGGTTGGCCTAATGTTTACAGAGATCAGATCAATGAGATGTCACAGATGCAGTCCTTGTTTAGTCTTGGTGCGTACATGCATAACAACAGTCACCTGTCCTATTAAATGCCCTTTATTTATTTTTTACATATTTTGATTGCACATTGAAGGAATACTTCCCACACAACGTGACAATGTGTATACCAGTCAGTCATGCCATTTCACCTCAAATTCATGAAGGTTTTCTCGCATGCCTCCATGGAAAATGGCTAACAAATGGATTTATTAATTGACTGAGAACCACATTTAAAACAGCTAAACTGTATCCAAACATCTGTTTACAAACTGTCACACAACTTGCGCAGTATAATCCAAGTCTCATTTATCCTGTTGTTCCCAAACACATGCATTCTCACTAAAAAAACAAACTTCTCTTTGAAGAGAGCATAAAAAAAATTCACAATCTGTTTAGTTTTAAATAGTAATGTTTTGGTGAAAATGAATGTGTCTGGGAAGTACTGAGCATACCACTGGATAAATGAGACTTGGATTATGCAGCACACATGTGAGAGTTTGTAAGTTTGTGCTGGGTTTACACGTGGTTACCAATCAATGAATCCACGTGTTCACTGTTTTTCATGGAGGCATGAGAGAAAAGCAAAGTTTTCTTCACGAATTTGAAGTAACATGACATAACGAACTGATACAAATGGCCATTTTGCAGGTGAACTATTCCTTTAAAATACAGTTATTCAAAATGATATGAATACAAACACATTTTTGGCAACATATACTTAAATATACATACATTTTGAGTAAATAAAAGATTGTGCATGAGAAGTAGGACCCACAACACTTAAAGACTTCTTCATGAAATGTCCTTGATAAAGACACTGAATAGCCGACCTGCCACCTCACTGTGAATTCACTCCAGATGTGAGCATCAACAAAATACCTTAAAAGTAAAATGTTTGGACAAGCACTTGAAAGAGATGTGGGTGAAGGCAGTAATGAGTGCTGTGTGCTCAAAAGTAAAGCTGCAAATCTGGAATCAATGAAAATGAGAAAAACAGTCATGAGATACCATCCCCGAGGAAAGAACTACATTCAACAGGAAAAACAAAACTCATAGCATGTTTGATTGCTTCCATTAGTGAGCCAGGTTAAGATAAATACATCTGTGATGCGGCTAAACCGGCTCGTACATTCCAAAATCCACCAGCCATTTAACAAGCCAAACATAGCTCGAGAAAATAATTACAGGGCTACCAAATAATATAGTGTTACCTGCCTTGTCAGCCAACGGTGACATTTACAAGGACTTTACTAGCAGCTGGTGCTAGTTTCCCACCTGGGAGTTTCCATCTTTCATCTCTAACTATTTAGCCTATTTACACCACACTGATTTGGCAGAATCAATATAGAGCACAATGCCATGCTTATGCCAGGCTTACATTTCTATCATTAGTAAACCAGTAAGAAAACATTTGATATACAAAGCATCCCCTGCCAGAGAGCATAGAGGCAGCTCTGTCTCACTAAACATGTCTTTTAGACCTCTACTGCATAAACAAGGAAACGGTTAAGTTATGTAAATATATGCAAAAAGAGAAACGGACTGAGGATGTTTCATAGTCGTCTGAAACCACATACTTCCTCCTGATTATGCATATCAACAGTGCCTCTGGTCTTCCAACAAATCCTCAAACATCTGACGTTTTATGGTCAGCAGCACAGTGGTACGAAACATCTTAAATGTCAGTGTCTTCACACTGCCTTATGCCTGACCCCACACAGACAGAAAAACCTCTATGGCTCTCCAACTACTGCACAAGCCTTGCCTATGATATGGAATATCACACTGTGAATAATGAGGAACACCCGTGCAGCCGTTTGCGTTGGATTGCTGGCACTGGCTTCCCCAGAAAAGGACAGCGAATTAAATGGGTGCTTGTGCTCTCATAAAAGGGACCACTGTGCTTGGCCACGTTGGATGGCAGATGTGTAGCTAGCCCTTAGCATTAACATTTTGTGCATGGCCTATGGATTGGCTTGTGCTGTTTGATGCCTCTGCCAGACATTGAGAGACTTGATGCTGAAGCTTAATCTGTTCATACAAAATGCAGATTGCTGTAAAAGGGTACACAGGCTTTATGGAGCTGTGGATTTAGCCGTTGAGGAAAAACTAAGTTCTCACAGATGTTCTGTGACGTCAAATAGGGAATGCTACTCACTACTTGCAACTCAATGAAATCTGAAACGCTTTGTTTGGCAGTAAGTGATATGTGTAGGTTTTCATAGGGTTGCGTAATATTGGTTAAAAATGAAAAGCACAATCATTTTGAGAATAGAAAAAAAGGGGGGATTATGTTCGCGGTTCATTGTCATTCTGTCATGGTGTTATTGGGCATATTTTGAGTTACAAGTTTTTCTTCCTTTTGCTTCATTATCATTTTTATGAGCCTTAAATCAAATTTAACGTTTTTAATTTGACGTATGGCAAAGAATGTGTGCTTAGTGTTAAAAGCGATGACAGGAAGTTGTTTGTTTCAGACACAAAAAGGGACTTTTTACATTCAGCTGTGCTAAAATTGCAGACAAACTCCCCCACACTAACTTAAAGAGGAATACATATCTTGCAACGTTTCAGTACCTAGACCTTTTGAAAGTCTAGTCACCAAAAGCTGCAATAACTGTTTGTCTTTTGCAAGTTAGAGTGCAAGAGTTTGTCTGCAAATTGTGTCCTACTCGGCCCTCTCAAACGCACCTGTTTTGAAATAGATGTATTAAGTATTCTTCTGTTTTAAATCTAAAGAAAGCTAACAACTTTAGAGATGTCAAAGTAGGAGTTGCTTTTTCTTTATGGCCGATATCTCAGTTTGCAGTTTAACTCCCAATTTTCCCTCAGGTATATATAGTATCCGAAGACAGTTAAAAATACTGCAGGCTATCTTTCATGATTGACACCCCCCCCCTCCCAAAAAATGGCTGTTAACAAGAACACCCACCTTTATTTACCTCAGAGGCTCTTTTATCATGCTAGCTCTTGAACTTCCGGCCTGAGTTGTGTGCTTTGTAGACTTGTGTGCCAGGTGTTGTGCCTGATAGTGTACTGCTGTGCAGATAAAACTCTGCCTGCAGCTTGCTTCCCATTATGATTCCCACCCAAAGGGTTACATGCAGGCAACATCCTCAAGAATCCAGCTCTGTTCCAAAGCAGGAAATAATGACTGGGCTTCAATAGAGGTGCAGTGGAATTTGTGCTGGTTTGTTTAGATTGCATGCCGAGACATGCGAGCGGAGAGTGCCACTGCTATCATTTGATGGGATTTAGAGATGAGGAAAACATGCATTCTGATTTGGTGAGTTGGCTTTGTGCATCTGTTGTATTGTTCAGGTCTAAAACTCACTGAGCATTACAGAAAATGGATAAATGTCTCTAAGAATGCATTTTTTGTAGTTAGCTCCTGCTTTATTCATCCATTTCCACATAAACCAATAATCAACAACATACACATCAGATTACAATCCGCTCTTATGAAGCAGAAATGGGGTACAGTGATGGCAGATGCCATGTAATACAGCACTAAAGTAGGATTCAATGTGTGTGTCCATCTTAACATCCTGACTAATCATTTCCATACTGTTCATTGATGGTTCGATGGTGTTCATTATGTCTTCAGTTTCTAAATATGACTTTAGTTGTTCTTTTTTCCTCAGACAGGTGTTAGGATGTTACATACCTTGACATGTTTTGGCAGAAACTTCTGCCTTCCTCAGAAGGGTCACTTGGTGGTGGTTGCGACATGTCTCTATCGCCTCCTTAATATCAGCTGATTGACAGATCAGCCCATCACAACCACCGCCAAGTGACACTTCTGAGGAAGGCAGAATTTTCCGCCAAAACATGTCAAGGTATGTAACATCCTAACACATTTCTTGTTGTTCATTGATTCATTGATGGTCTATCCATTTTGGCAGCACTGCGTTTAAAGAGATGGAGCATCTACTCCTCTTTTGCATAAAGTTAAATCTAGGCTACTTTTTCCAAATTTGGGGCGTCCAGCCTGTGATACCCCTGAAAAACTTATTGTCGATCTAAAATGAAGACAGATTCAGCAACTGTGTGGCTTATTTCTTACCTCAAATGTTGTCAGATTTACATTTCGGTGAAATATTTTCTTAATTTCAAGAGATAGCTTCCAAACAAGCCACCATGTCAGTCTGGTTTGAAATCCAGGAGTTGACAGCCCACGCACCTAGTGGCACACCCATCAAATGTACAATCTTTGGAAGCGGCGCAACCCCCTAGTGTCCAAAAACACCCCTGTGGACATGTACCATGACACACCAAGCCAAAAGATGGATATCTGGCAACAGCAGGCAACATTAAAGGAGCTATACCTGACATTTAGACCATATGAGCCAGGATTGTCTGCACGTGGCTCTCAACATGGAGGTGGCTGAGCCAGCAGCTAACAGTGCTAATGATGGTAGCAGAGCTGACAGAGCTTGTGTTGTTAACATGAGGGGGAATCGTAGGGCTTCCGAAACGATGCCGTTTGCCACCGTGGGTCAGTACAGGGTAATCAGTGGTAACTATGAGTGCAGAACAGAGCGGAGGCAATTAGCTAGCCAGTGGAATACACACACAGGGACTCACATGCACTAACATGTACGCATGGCCAGACTGGCGACCACAACAAAGAACAGAGAAGCTCGAATTACAACACATACAAAGGGAGCATGGCTTCATTCTTTGCTCAGGACCCCATTACTTCACTATATCTTCACATAACAAATAGTTGTTTGCTGCCATCTCAGAATGTCACATAGAGCTTCTTTAAGCATTTGCTGACAAGTTGTGTTGGGCACGGTTGTTTTCATTAGCAGCACTCTGCAAAACAAAAGTCACTTTTACACTTCCTGTTCAAGAAGGATATGTTGCATTGTTATTCCTCTTCGCTGTTCTTTAGAAAAAGGTACGATTGCGGAATGGGGAAACGAAGTAGTCTCGCCTTTAAGCCAGTAGTGGAGGTAGTAACGAACAAATTAGTTTCTGTGTAAAAAGGGTGGCTGGCAGAACGGTATTCTTCAGAAAGTGCTGTCTACGTGTATGTTATCTGTCACACTGGTGGGTGTAGCATGTGTTACATGTCACGCCTGTCACACTTGATAGCATGCTTCTGGAACGCCAGCATGCTATCTGAAAATCACACACTGGGCCGGCATTATGCCGCAGTTGTTTGATTCTGAGTAAAAAAGCAAAGGCAGCATAATAAAGGGATTTAGTAGCGGCGCAAGCTTTGTGTAATAAGGGATAAGTTTTCAATACAATTTTTGAATGTTTTAGACACATTCCCATATTTCAGTCCTATATGAGAACTTTTAAGCAGATTAACAGTGGCGTGAAAATCAGCAGGCTAGTCTGTTTGTCTTTTATGTTTTTCAGATCACAAACTCAGACTGCTAATTAGTTATTTCCTCTCACACAGGCGCAGAACATACATGCCTGTCAGTGGTCACCTGGTCATCGGCCGTTGTCTTTGTGCTGTGTTCAAGTGCAACTTTTAACAGAAGACGTGAGGCGTCGCAAACTGTTTGATCAGTCTGCCTTTGTCGGTTCTAGTTCTTTGAGGTCGGCTTGGTGTGTCAGGGCCCTAATCTTCATACAGACATTCTCTGTGTTCTGTAACCACGGGGCCTAGGGCACACAGACCTATCCCGGAACAGTGATTAGCATATGTATGGGCCCTCTGCTCCTCAACTCCCACACAAAAGGCAGGCGGGCCGTGCAGCCACGAGGGCCAGGTGGTAAGCAGTGGGATTTCTCCTCGACTCAGCCATAGCCTGGGGGACAGGTGCAAACAACTTCACCTCCATGCAAGGCTACATAACAGCTCAAAGGAGAGGCTGTCTTGAACTTGTGCAATGCACAACAAAAGAGGCCAGGGACCTTTTGTCTGCTGCTCTCTGCTGTTGTTGTCTTAAAGAAAGAGCTGGGCCCAGGCATAGCTTTTTAACAGGAAGTGGTCTCTCACTATCCTTGGGGGAGTTTGTGCATTTAATCGTTCAAGGGTTGTCAAGTGTGTCATACTCTCCCACATTATTACAACATCACCAAATGTTTTCCATCTCAAGTCTCCACAGCTTTGACACATAAATCTCCTAAACTTGGTTTTCATTTTGGTCAGCCTTCAATCAGATCTTTGCTGATAACTGCTGGGAAATATGGTCGAGGGCATGTCACTATACAGCACAGCAAATATCACAGAGTGCCAAAAAACAGTAGGTCTACAAGAACACTGTGTATACATGCCCAGTTTTCAGGACCTGATAATTACCAAATTGATTTTCCGTACTTGTTTAGTCTTTCCAGGGCTGCACAGGAACCCTGTAATAAGAGGTATTTACTCTGCATTCAGCCACTTCAAGAGATCTTGTAGGCTCTCTCACCACTTCCTCAACCTACACACAAAGAAATGCCAGGCAAATGAGGGGTTAAAGGGATGAAGCCCATGTAAATTAGGCTTGGCGGGTCTTCATTCAGACACATGAAAGGCTTCTGTTAGCAAAGAGGGAGCAACCCTTGTTATGATCATGCATAGTCAATATTCTTTCATAACACAAACCCACCCCAAACCAACACCCCCCCACCAAAAAAAAGCTCTTAGAGAAAAACTGCATTCAGCCATCAGTGACATGGCACGATAAGTGGCTGATCATGTGTGGGCTGCTATCCAGGAATACTGTGGTGAGGCTCAATGTGAAACCCATGCATAGCTCATATGATGTGTTATAATGTATTAAAAATGTAGTGCTGCGAGGCAATTTCAGAATATTGACAGTGAAGGCTTTTAGGCCTGTACTGGCAGCAGACTCCACCACCAGCCACCAGATTACTATAACAAAATATTTGGCCACGACTTATAAATTTGTCTGCTTCACCAGCCACAATGAGAGAAACCAACAATTATTTGGAAGTCCCAACTACCATCATTTTCTGGCAGAAATGAAACGTGAGCGTGGTTTTTGGGGATTTACCGGACACTCGAGCCAAAGCGTGGGCCATGTGGCCATATTATAACATCTTGAGGTATCTTTGCTATGACAAGAATACAATAAGTCAATGCAAACCATATTGGGTAAAACTCTTCATGATTATTAAACAAACTTTAGTCTGGTGTCTCTTGTGCAGTGAGCTTTTTCCTCACATATCCCCTCCTGAAAATAACTGATCAAACAATTTGACTCTGCTTTTCCAAACTTCACTTCCACACTTTATTTTCCCTGATGCTGCAATGATTTATCACCCCAAATCAAATGTACAATGTGAGGATCAATCAATTACAGTCACCTGCTGAGCTGAATCAGACAGATCATGATGCATCTGGTCTCAAGATCAATTTGGTTACAAGGCGACGACATCTGTGGCCTTTGTAGTGCACAATATGTAAAAAAATCATGTTGTGATTATTCTGACAGATATTGGGATTGTGAAATGAGTCCCGATATCAGTGAGAATGGTAATTTGTGCATTTCATTTTCACTGCAATGATGGTGATGTGATTTTTACTGGGGTCTGTGCCAGTTAAGCAGACATTTTACCTCTTTCCTTGATCTAAGTTTTATTTTTTCTTGGGTCAGTGGGCCCCGTGGTCATTTGGTGTGTACCTTAACCAGTATGTTTGGATTACTTCAGCTGTGGGGCAGTATTGTGTTCAAAGTTCCAAGCATTTTGAGAATTCTACCGCACCTATTTGCGCCTTCTACGTCCTTGTGATTTACGTTTCCAAAGATTACGGAAACAAGACAATCGAGATAAAACCATGACTGTGCTGTATTCTGTGTCGCAATGACGCTCTTGTTTTGTCTTGTGTTGTAAATCCAGTGTAGCCTTTTCCTTTGCAACAGTGTACTCAGTGTTGCCAACTTGCCGACTTTCTTGCTAGATTTAGTGCCTTTTCAGGCCTTCAAGTGACTTAATTTTTAAAAACAACCCACTCCGACGGAGCTTGCATTACAACACGCATTGGAGCTCTCAGGATGGCTGCTAACATTTCATTTACTACAGCATCAACCAAATAAGTCAATGACTATACGATTGACTATACGACCACGCTTGCATACACTGTACGCCGGAATTAACACTGAAATAAAACACATGGTCAAGTGCTTGAGCTCAGCTACAATGTGCCTTCACATGTGCGTTATAGCCAGTCCGTTGTGCCTGCTCTGCACAAACGAGTATGTGAGTGCCTTAACTGTTATAATAAGAACTATGGCCAATGAGCCGCCTTCAGTTAAATTATAGTTTAAGTTAAAAAAAGCCACAGTCCAAAAGACATGTTTCTTTTCTTAAAGTTAAATAAATGCGGGATGTTTCCAAAGTCAATGAGGATTTGTGTTAAACAATCGTGATCTAATATATGACCAAAATAATTGTGATTAGGATCTTCACCATAATCAAGCAGCCCAACTTTTTCAACATGGCAAAGGCAAAGGAGGCTCATGGGTATGGTTGCCTGTCTACAGTGTCTGGTTTCTCACTGAGATCATATCATAAACCAACAGTATAATCAGATCATCTGGAGGAGTCCCACGTTTCTATGTTAAGTAACATTAAGATGTCGTTTATAACTATTTTGCAACAGGGGTAAGACACTTCCTGAACCAGCAGCTCAACCTTCTTTGCAACACGTGAATAATATCATATGGCCCACCAATTCAGGCACATAGCCAAAAGGTGTTTTTTCTGAGTGGGATGTACCTGTGTGGCTTTGTCTTTCATACAGGAAGGGTAGGGTCCGTGGGAGTCCCGAGGCCACTGGCCGGTGAGGTATGGCCCCGTGATGGCGTCCAGGGAAGATGTCCGCCGGATGGCACTAGAACTCCGAACCTGTAACTTGGACCTTTCTGCTATGAATTGAGAAAGAATAAAGAAATAGCATCAGACACACACACACACACACACACACACACACACACACACACACACACACACACACACACACACACATGCAGGCGTCAGCACCAAGTGAGCAATATTCCTCAACAGCCTGAGGCATCTTTGAGTCGATGTGCCAACTTTCCTGACTGTGTCATTACGACACAACAGAACTCAGCATAAAGCACTAAAGTGTCACTGTGTGATTAATCTCTCCGTGCAAATGTATAGTAAAGGACTGGGGGCAACATAGTGAGTGACACCCAACCATAATGGTTTAAATTTTTGGCAAATAATCATGTAAAACATTCTGAAACGAAAAGCAATTGCATAACCAAAGTCTTACTGTCAAAATAAGTTAGTTTCCTTGACCTAGTTTCTTCAAATCTGTTGTAGTGTGAGCACAAACAGGACTGTGGGAAGATCTTCACATTACAAGAACAGAAATATATTTCAGTCAATCACAAAGTGACTTGTTACTCAGGTCACTGGCTAAAAGAAGTTAGAATATCGCCAAAAACAACATATTAGAATCAGCATTTCACCTTCGCCACTGATACTGTAATTAACAGTGTTTTATTGAGATGAGACCTAGCCTTGCAATCTGTTCTTGTTTTCAAAGTGTGGACATTTTTTCTAATCTAATACGTATTAGTGCAGGGCAAACAACAGGCATGAGAGCCGAGGCCTGAAGCAAATGTAAATGGCTGAGCAGGAGTATCTGATGTTATGAGAGCAGTCTGCTGTGAGCCAGAACAGTTAAGCACACACCACCCACATAAGAACTCATAAACAACCACACCACAATGCACATCAATACTGCCTGCATTCACTCAACATTCCTGCAGTGACACGCAGTTAAAAAAAAAAATAAAAAAAGGAGAAAAACAAAACATGCAAACACAAAGACATTAGCTTAAGAATAGCATGAGACTGCAGTGAGAGCTGGATTAAATTTATAAGCCTCAATTACATTCTGTGTGATTACTGAAAGCAAATAAAAGCTCCTTCATTTCCCTATCAAAGGCAGAATAAAAGAATAACATGATGATCAGGAAACATTTACTCCAGTCCTCGTCTGAGCAGGCTTCAGCAGAGGCCTTTCCAACATGGACAGACAAACCAGCACACAGACTGAACTATCTACATGAGGCACCCCTCTCCTAGCAGAACTACATAGCCGTTCATTGTTGTTCTTTGTTCGTAGAATACACAGGCCTACCCACCCAAAGGTATTGCCTAAGTAAGCTTACTGGGCTACAGTAAAATTCCCTGAAGCATTGTAGACAAAGGAAGCAGGCTAAATTTCCATCAATATTGATATAGGCCAAGCCAGTGCTCTCAGAACCGGGATTGTGGTTATTTTCCATCGTCTCCCCACTTGCCAGACTAGAATAATCTCCTGATGAGAAAAAAGAAACAGTGTGAAAGAAGCCAAGACATCAAAGCAGTCCATCTGCTGATTCCAGGGATAAGTGAGTGGTGGATGTGATATTAAAAGGAATATTTTCAGGTTGAATTTTAATGAGAACTTTCCTTCACCGGGCATTCAGTAAGCTGTGAAAAAGTCTCAGCATTTCCAGGGGATAAATGGGTCAAGTCAAGAAATGGGTGGTTTATTAACTGTAGAGCAGAGGCAAATGTGAAAACAAACATGTGGTCCAGATCAGTAAAGCATAGCAGAATGGTTTCTTGTAGGTTTTCACAAGAATACAAGATTATTTGTTGAGAGGAAAATCACAATGAAATTCTCAATGACATTATACGAGAATTTTAGTCTGTGCTAAAGCTAAACCTGCCAGGGCTTATGTGTCACTTTAATAGACACATGTAGAGCCTATGGAAATATGGAACATACCTCATACAGTTCAAATTAACTTTATTGTAGCTGCTCAAATTAGTGAATAATGAAACATGGAATTACCCATTCAAGACCATGCAAGCTTGGTCAATGTTAGAAAGATGGTCTTGTCATAACACTAAGCTGTCTATGCAGTATAACGACGCAGATACTTTTGCAACTGGTGCTACGTGACTTGAGCCATTTGCTTCTGCTCAAGAGTTAGAAAACCTACAACTACCAGAGTGCACAGCGCCAAACCGGAACAACGCACCTGCTGGTAGATGATGCAATATAATGGTGGCCAGCTGATAACAAACAATCTCGTATTACAGTTAAATAATAAGCTGAAACATGTTTCTGAGAACAGCTGAGGCGAGAAATAGGCAACGCAGTGACATAATCTTGGTTTATATTTGATCAGTTTACAGTTTGATCTCTTTTTTTTTTTCAGCCTTTGTTTTATTACCATGCAGGAAACAGTATGGTGCCCACTTCCTGTTTACAAACTATCACTATTGCAGCATAACAGGGCACTAAAATGTTTCTGAAAATATCTGAGGCAAGAAATAGGCAGTGCAGTAACATAATCTTGGTTTATATTCGATCAGCACTGCTTAGTTTGATTGTCGTTTGGTTTTGAGAGGGGCAGGTTTGTCTCTTGATCCACCGCTATACTCTTTGTGTCTGTGGTGGTGAGCAACAGCCTGAGAAAGTAGATGACGTGTTTCCCAAGAGGGGAGCAGGGAGATCTGGGTACTGGTAAGATGAGGAACGTTAACCTTAGTTCATTTACACATACTAACCACACTGTTGGCGAAGTATCACTAAGAAGGGGGGATAAGAATCCCAACAATGGCCAGTGTCCATTAAAGTGATACTACTGAAATTACTTATACTACTAAAAAATTGCCAAAATGTGATTATATTTGTTATATTATTCACTGTATTATATAAACTACTGATAGACGAGGCATGATTATTGATTCTGTAAATACTTTTGATACTGTGCATTTATGTATTACGTTATATAAATAAAAAAACATTACACATCATCATGGAGGAATCTTTTTAACCACTGGGCAACCCAGCAGCTCATGTTTCATAAATGTTCTGCATGAGCTGCTCAAGCTAAAAAAGTGTGTTAAATGCGAGCAGTGATGAGAGCAGTGACTGTCTCTCATACATTATGAATTATGTCCATGTTGGCAGTGATGTTTTTAAAGTTATGAGTTTCAGCATCTGTCCCTCAGCTGGTCAGGAAATGGCTTGTTAGCATCATTAGCATCAGTCAATGAGTCCGGTGGGTACCTCCCACAACAAGCTAGCTTGGACTACTTTCAGTGTATCTCGATTTATGAGTGGTGTATGCTAACAGTGCTAACAATTTCTACTTTTATAGCTGAGAAGTGAAGAGTAAGCAAACTCAACATCAAGGTCCAACCAGATGCTACACAGTCAGTTTCGTGCCAGCTCATAAAACTAAAAAAAAAAAAAAACAGAGCACAGTCCTAACAGAGCCGACTGATTGGGACAACACGCTCATTTTCACATTTGTTCCTACTCTGCAGTTTGAATGGTTGACAATGAAGCAGGGCCGTTTCAGCACAGCTGGCACTTTGACAGAGAGCTAGACTATCATTGTTGGGTCAGTGTGGTAAGAGAATGATGTCATGCTGGTGAACCTAAAAGGTCACGATGTGGAATATAATACACTTCAGTCTGTCCTTCATCATTAGGCTATGATGTGAACTGTTTGAACACCAGTGCAGTCCATTACCAGTGTGACACCGCCTGGCACTAACACTGATGGCACTGCAGGGCACTTTGGACTGAATTTTCCCACTAAATGGCGAGCATTATATCTGCAAGTGGGTGCAAAGTACCTCAATGAATGATAAATTACAAAGTGCAAAGCCTCCCGCTTCACTCACATCAAGCTGGGCTGCTGTGATTAAAGATGAAGATGACTAAATCAAGTTTGCATTTTTTTGACTGCTACTATCCCACAATGACATGGTCATAGTCGTCATCTGAGGCCTCTCATGCGTGTTTGGACTGTGAGGTCACAGCGATGAAGGAGGGTCAAGTCTCCATCATCATCACGAGCATGGGACACTGGCCTGGGTTAGAGGTCGACTCTCTCAGAGAACTGAGGTATGCGTGGCATGCCACTGGGGTGGGAAATCAACACCAACCGCTAGCCAAACATGGGGGAAATTCGTTGTGCCTGGTAAGTCTGCCTATGCTGTTGTTATGGAAGAGACTTCGTTTCCTGCCTTGCATGGTACACTGGTCAGGGTTGGAGGTCATCTCATTCAAAGAACTGAGGAATGTGAAGCACGTCACAAACATAAGATTCCACACACAACTCCACAATGCAACAACTACCATGCTGCACTGAGACAGCAGGGCTGCCATTTTGGTTAAAAGGTAAGAGGGAGAAGCTATTAAACGTGACAAATGAAGGTAGCATTGATCCATTTGGTGTAATGTGGTTGCTGTGCTGTGCTTTGTGACCTAATCACATTAAGTATAGAACACTCTTGTGGTGAGAATACCTAGTGCTTTTCATGGGAACTGATGCAGAGTCAGAAATACCCACTGAGCTTACCAGAACTAGGAGTCTCTTTTTGTCTTCACATACTGGAAAACCAAGCTTTATTCACACACTTCCATATCACCACGTGCCTTGCCAGATAGTGTGTAGTTATGTGTGTGTTTTGTACATAAAACACAGGGTTTACCAAACAAAAAAAGCAGTAGTTTTCTAGCTAAAAATGTAGTTCTGGCCTACAGAAAAGATACTGCTACAGCTCTGTAAAACCAGCCACAGTGTGGATATTTGGCAGGAAAGGCTGTCACATAAATGAGATTTAGTGAAACACAAAATGCGGATTTAGGGCTGCCTGCCCTCCTTTAGTTAGTCTCCATATCAGTTCTAAGGAGCAGCTGAGCGTGACACAAAACGACATAGCACGAGCCTCTGTGATTCATATGCAAGGCAACATGGAGAGACTCAGCATATGGTCTGAAAGTGCCATGAGTACTCCACGCTGCGTGTACGGAGAGAGGTCAGAATAAGCAACACCTGACTATTCGCTCAGCACTGTGTCTACTGGGACTGACGTGGCCCCTTTTACAACTGAAAGCATGTCTTTCTGCCAATTCTCTCCTCCCCCTTCTCTCCTGTCAAAAGTCCATAGGAAATAAAGAGAGCCAATAGTGCACTCTATTCTCTTTATGAGTGCCTAATTGTGTAAGTGGATGATAGGCTACATAGGTAATGCATCAACCTTGTGCAAATCAAGTGCCAATTCGCTTCAGAGTTAAAAGTCGTTGCCTCAAATGTGATATTTGACCAATTTTGCACAATTAAAGTATCATAATTTAATTGTATAACTGTGTAGTAGTTAGTGTAGAAGGAAAGTTACCACGACCAGTTATCAGTGGACAACAGCACGTGGTGACATGGCATTTCTTGGCCTGTGTGAGGCAAAACAGTTCAAGAAAAGCGTTTTTACCTCTGGAGACTGGAGAGTCTGGGGCACAGGAGGAGTCCTTGTTTTCGGGGGACAGTCTTTGCTTAGCATTTGCACTTCCTGAGCTGAGTGACGGGCTCGAGGGGGGACTCGAGCCTCGGCTGTTCGTGGCTCCACCGTAGAGGGTCTGAGACCGCGTCGGGCTGCCCTGACCCCCACGCAGGAGCTGGTAGGGCACGGTGGCACGGATGGGGTGCAAACGGCAGCTGCTGTTGTTGAACGAGCCGGGGGAGCCCGCATTGCTGCGTCTCACCCTCGGCTGCTGGAGCGAGTTGCTGGGGGCTGACATCCTCCGAAACTGGCTGTAATTCCTATCGCGGTGAGAAAGACGTGGTGCCAAAGTTGCTGCCTCTCTAGAGAAGAAAGTGTTGGTGGTGGTGGTGGTGGTGGTGGTGGAGGTGGTGGTGAGGGGGAAACGGTAAGATAAACATTAGCTTGTTAGCAAAAGGAAAAAAAAAACGTTAGCTTCCTTTTTTTTAAATTTCAACTCCAGCGCTAGAGCGAAAACACGCATTATATGGTTATAACTTACCTGTAAGTTACTAACACATGCCGACGTGAGCTTTAAACACAACACAAGTAACTTTAAAAGTTGTTTTTGATACTTCTTGAAAGGTTTATTTGGCGTTTTCCAGCTCTCGCTCTGTCTTCCCCATCATAAATGACAGTTGTTTCGGCAAGACTACTGGCTGCTGCCTGTGGGCGGGCCGTGCTCGTGCCTTCTCAGCTTGTGATTGGACAGTGGCGTTTTACAGTAACGTCGCTGATTGGTCACAGCTTGTCTATGATCGTCCAATCAGGTCAGAGATGTCTTACTACTGTGGGTAAAGTCTGAAAATTAAGATGTAGAAATATTTTTATATAAGGATTAATTCTGTTGTGCAGCAAGATGTCTGTAACCATCAATTACTCCCAAATATTTCATATTTTTATATTAATTTTTTAACAAATGGCTTTAATTGTAGGTTGTCTTTTTAATCACATAAACATAATATAATGCACAGTAAAAGTCCCTTTTTAAAGAGCTTTGTTGAGGTTTTTTTGCTACATCTCCCCAGTGCCAAGTAATTTAATTATTTCATAAGCCATGTTAAACTCTCCCTGATTAACTCTTCACCTCCAACATATGGACATTGAATGAAGGATGTTATGTATCATTTACAATTGGAGACAATCTGTTGTTTTATTAAAGGATCAACTGCACGCGTCTCTGCCACCTGGCAATCATTTTTAACTTTTGTGGCAAATATGGAAGCTAAAAAATTGTAATGAAACATGCTATATGCCCCTACTTATGTCATGCAAGTTTATATGTCGTCAATTTTTATATACTTTTCTTTTTTAATTTATTCATTTTTCTCGTGTCTATTAGATTTCATTGACTGGGTTGATGGGTAGGATGGGTTGTCTTTTTGTCGTCTTTATTGAATAAAAAATAAAAAATACCTTGTTTAAAAAAACTCTGATTATGTGGAAAATATTTTTTATTTATTTACAATTTTCATCATTTAATGTGGGTCCCTGGGACACTTTTCCACCCTGTTGGTTAATTAAAATAATGAATTTAATAAAAAAGACAATTCCATCATTTTCACAGACTCTTTTTTAGGTGGGAACTCAAAGGAGTATCAATATTTCATGATGTTAATCTCTCTGTCAAACTCCTAAAGTTCAATCCTGTTATGCTAAATTATAAATAAAGTTAGTGTGATCTAAAACTGTCAAAGCATATTTGATATAGTTATAAAAGAGCTAATGCTAACTTAGCTAAAAAAAAATTCCACCCTGTTAGGTCCACCCATGGGGATTATTTGAGCGCCTGAGCTTGGCCAATATGATTTCCTCACAATTTAACATGTCACTGTTCTTATATGATGCAAAAAAACATGAAGAAAACTTTTTATTCTCCAAAAGTTATGAGGCCAAAATGTTGCTGCATAACAGGAACGACCCAAAAACCAAAGTACTGCTTGGGAAATTTACTTATATACTGTATACAGTGTAGATTACAGTATATACATAGATGACTGAATAAATATTACAGTTGAGGATGTCCATTTGTGGCAGTCCTGGAGCTTTCAATCGTCATTACACAATCTTCCTCAGCACATGGAAATGTAGATGCTACAACCAATGGACTACAGTGACTTACATTCTCCGTACAGTTTTTACTCTGGCATAGTCTATACAATTTACAGTAACAGTTTGGCCTGTACAAAAAAATGCACTGTAAGCTACTGCGTCTATCTTTTTTTCATGCTTAATTGCCTGTACTTATCATAGTTGTACGTTAGCATTTGCTTATGTACATTTAGCCTTGTTTGAGCTTGATGTACGTATATATATATATATATATATGTATATATATATGTTCCTGTATATTTGTTCCAGGCTCTATTTGCATGCTTAAACATTCTTAGCCAACAAAGATAATTCCGATAGTGGCGAGACTGTTGCTTAACGGCTGCTTTCCAAGGTCAAGAGTGAATTTCCGTCTCAACTTAAAAAGGGGGGAAATTGACAATGGAACAAACTCCATCTGCTGAGGGAGACTGTGATGTGAGTGAAAGCACCAGAACACATATTAAATGGACCTTGTGGTGAGATTGTTGTGTCAACTGTTGTTTGTGAGGCCAAGAACAACTTTAAATCTAGTAAGAAGATTGTATTACTCACTGAGGTCCAAAATCTATTGTTTTTCTCTGGTGTCCATCTCTCTGCCTGCTCTGATGGTCTGTGTTTCTGTGGGAGTTCCCATGGGAGAATAATGTGTGACTCAATGCTTTCAAGCAAAGATAAAGAATGCACATGATAGCAAACCCACGCCATCTGTGTCTATGAAACATGATAATGTAAAAATAAACCATGTAAACTTATGGAAAACACCCCCATTCAACAGCGCTCCAATTTGTCAGTCGGAATTTATTTAAAAGGCAAACACAAGAAACACTGAAAGGATGAAATTCCAGCCACCCTGTTTTTCGGGACGCTACACAGCTCGCCAATTTGTCAGCTCCACTCCAAAACAGTTCACAAAAGGGCATGCAGACCTATAAAACCTCCCACACCGGGACGAGATCCTGGTGAAAGCGCCATACAGTAGCTCCTGTGCCCCCCTCCTCCTCACCTCCTCCTCCCTACTCCATGACTAAGTGATTTAGCCAGCTCTGGTGCAGGCCGCCTCTCACTTACAATGCCTCCCTAGGTTAGTGACAGAGCGGGGAGGGTGGCAGAGAAAGAGAGAAAACCCATTTACAATGCGGCTTACACACGGCCGTCCCCCCACAGACGGCGCCCATCCTTGGATTGATGTGTGGTATGCATAGTTTTTTGGGTGCAATTTGGGCACCACAGAGAGGGAGAAAGAAAGAGAGGGCAAGTCTGTGTATGTCGGAGGGTGTAGGAGGGGGGGGCGCAGGGCTCAGGCTGTCTGTTCTCTCGCCCTCTCTTTGAGTCAATAGTGTTCCGGCAGCTGAGGTTCTTTATGAGGGGAACAATCTGGAGGGTCTTGTCAGAGTGCCGAGCAGCTGCTGTTTTCTGGCGAGCTTCTTTCATGGACCACAGGCCTGGAGTGGGCTGGTGAATACAGACGCACCCTCCCACCCTTCCTCCTCATCACCCGTCACCCCCTACCTTCTCCAATTCCTCATCCTCTCTCCCGAAGCCACCCCATCGTACTAGAAGCCCTCCCGCACAATGCCAGATGAAGAGTGGCACAGAGGAACATGAAGAGAGCAAGGGAGTGTTGTTATTGTGCGCGCCACTCCGCTCCCGTCGCCCGGGGTACCGTCCTTCACCCCGAGCAATGCTTTCATGAGGTATGTGAAGATCCTTTCGTAAGACAAACACAGACGTTAAATAGCGTATTAAAACACAAGCCACAAAATAGAGCTCCGACATTTTGGCACCTGTGATCACATCTTTGCAACCTGATGTGAGTGGACATATGATTCTTTTTTTTTTAATAGATCACAATATCAGCCTGATTCAGGTTAGATTGGAAGAGGCCGATTACAGCAGAGCCTCTTATATTTCTCCTGAGTGGGATTTACATTAGCAGAGCAGTGAGTTTGCATTCGCTCCCTTTCTATCATCGATTCAGTTAGTCAGATCAGTAACACACACACACTGCCTCCCTTCTTCATATACGGCTCTGTTACAACTTTACATTCACTAGACTATAACTTAACAGTACGTCTTTCTATCCGAGCAGCCACCTCAGAGCAGGACACTGCTGGCACCCTTCATCCCTTGCCCAGGTGTCGGTGTGGTGGGTGCAGCAGTGAACCTGCACTGGTTGGCTGTGGGCTGGTGTTTGGCTTCACTTTTCCAACAAGCGTCTCCTGTTTAGCTGCTGTCTGAAGGCACCAGGTTCCCTGTGGTGTCCAGCTGCATGCATTTACACGTGCAGGCAGACACTGGGCACTCTGTGTGGTCTCTGTAACACACACATGAAGGTCAATTAACAAAACAATGCGTAGATGAGGAGAAAAAAAGTATAAACAGTAGATAATGCAGAAGTTTGTACATCATGACCACATGAACACAGACAGGCACAGCAGGTCAGTGAACCTTCCCTTCATTGAATTTTCAATTTTGAAACAAAAATCATAAAAAAATCAAATAAAATTCATTTTATTGCCGATTTATTACTGAATTTCTGTATTTTCAGTTATACACTTTATTCTACACTTTTGCTTTAGTCACATGAAAATAAAATAAAGCAAAGAGGGTTTTTCCACAGGCACATTATTTCTACTTGACATTACCTTTATCAGTATTAGATCAGCTACTGTTTAGGGGAATCAAGAGGGTGAGCTTTGCTCTCAAAGGCCCTGTTCAGACTGCCAACCCAAATCCGTTTTTTGGCATTACCAAATTTGTTTCAAGACTGATTTTGGAAAGTCTGGACCACAAAAACCACATGAAATCTGATCAAATACAAACCACATTTTCTACATTTCTGGCCAGTCAAATAGGATTTTGTGCCACAACGATGATGTCAATTCCAGAGAGATGGAGTGCTGAGCAGAATGCATGCTACTGCTAGCAGAGTGCTATGGAAGACAACATGGAGAACAACAGGTTGGGGACAGACAGCAAAATAAATTGAGATAAATAACTGTGATTGCTATTTCTCATGCCTCCACATCGGGGGGCGTGGTCACCAGCATAGCTACATAGTTTACTGATGTCTACGTCATTACCACAGCAACACATGCAGATAGGTTGGTGATGTCTGGACGCACAAATCTGATCTGACCCTTGCAAATAACAGTGCTGACAGTCTGTCTTAGGGGCCGTGTCCATCAAACCATTTTTTTCTTAGGCTATTATATTTTTTTAAGGCTT